TTCATGGCATTTCATTGTACCGTGCGACAATCAATTACCATGGTCATACCATGTCATTTCATTGCCAAAATCAAACTCTCATTTATCATGGTTTTATCATTGCATTTCATGGTTGGTGGTATTTCATGGCATTTTATTGTCAAACCTGACCATCAAATACTATGGTCATACCATGGTATTTTATTGCCATAATCATAACTATCATTTATCATGGCATATCATTGCATTTCGTGGTTGATTGTATTTCATAGCATTTCATTGTCAAACCTGACCATCAAATACCATGGTTATACCATGGTATTTCATTGCCAAAAGAACTTTAGAAGAGTGTCGAAGTCTAAAATTGGTCAGAGTTGAAATGGATCATGAAATACAATGGAATACCACGTTTCACCATGAAATGCAATGAAATACAATGATTGATCATGATATGCAATGAAATGCAATGGTCTTTCTTGCAATGCAGTGAAATACAATGAAAGACCATGTTCAAAAAGTATTTTTTACATGAAATATCTTTATTAATAAATGTTAATTAGATAAACCAAATTATTATAATTAGTGATTCTGATATCCATCAAAATCACAACTTTATATACTTTTGTTCCTTTATTTAATAAATTAATTTCTATTTTGAATAATTAAGTTAATAACCCTAGAAACAAATTTTTTTTGTTAAACAAATTTGCTTTACTTTTTTTTGACTATTGTTGGTAAAATAGGAGATCAACTCTATAATTTATAAGTTCAACCTCCAGTCTTCGACTAAACATCTTGACTGTACTTCATTGCATTTGATGGTTTGAAACCATGAAATACTGCAAAATAGCAGTATTTTTAAATGCAAAATTTTAAGTAAAGTGACCATGGTATACCATGGTAAATCATGATAATTGGATGGCTCCATTGCATATCATGGTTGAATGTCTAGACCATGATATCACTGCATTTGATGGTATTTGACCATGAAATACTGTGAAACGGTGGTATTTTTTAGATACAAAATTACATGTTAATTGACCATGGTATACCATGGTATATCATGATCGTTAAATGGCACCATTGCATTTCATGGTCAGGAGCGCTTTTTTAACATGGAATTTCCCATTGAAAAAATACTGCCGTTTCGCAGTATTTCATGGTCAGAAACCATCAAATGCAATGATATCATGGTCAAGAAACCATCAAATGCAATGATGTCATGGTCAAGAACTTGACCATGATATCATTGCATTTGATGGTTTCTGACCATGAAATACTGCGAAACGGCAGTATTTTTTCAATGGAAAACTCCATGTTAAAAACACGCTGTTAACCATGAAATACAATGGTGCCATTTAACGTTCATGATCGGCCATGGTATTACCATGGTATTTCATTGCATTTCATGGCCATATACCATGGTATACCATGGTCATACCATGGTATACCATGGTATAGCCATGGTCCATTTCAACATGGTATGATAAGCAGGAATTATATACCTTAATTAGAGCTATGTACAAAGTGGTCTACTATACTGTAGCTATAAAGTATATATCTAAATAAAAGCTATGTACAGGTTGGACTAATATATGTGGGAAGTATGTTATCATGTCTGACTATTTTATAATATGATATTATATAGGGTGGTCTGCTTTAGCTTGAAATATATATCTAAATAAGAGATATGTACAGGGTGGTCTACTATAGCTTGGAAGTATATATATATAACTAAGAGTAATGTACAGGGTGGTCTGCTTTAGCTTGAAATATATATCTAAATACGAGATATGTACTGGGTGGTCTACTATAGCTTGGAAGTATATATATATAACTAAGAGTAATGTACAGGGTGGTCTGCTTTAGCTGGAAATATATATCTAAATAAGAGATATGTACAGGGTGGTCTACAATAGCTGGGAAGTATATATATATAACTAAGAGTAATGTACAGGGTGGTCTGCTTTAGCTGGAAATATATATCTAAATAAGAGCTATGTACAGGGTGGTCTACAATAGCTGGGAAGTATATATATAACTAAGAGTAATGTACAGGGTGGTCTACTTTAGCTGGAAATATATATCTAAATAAGAGCTATGTACAGGGTGGTCTACAATAGCTGAGAAGTATATATATAACTAAGAGTAATGTACAGGGTGGTCTGCTTTAGCTGGAAATACATATCTAAATAACAGCTATGTACAGGATGGTCTACTATAGCTGGGAAGTATATATATATATAACTTAGAGTAATGTACAGGGTGGTCTGCTTTAGCTGGAAATATATATCTAAATAACAGCTATGTACAGGATGGTCTACTATAGCTGGGAAGTATATATATGAATAATAGGCCAGATTAATGTCCCCTGTATTGGTCAAACTAGGTACTGTACTTCACTCCACATTTTGTAAATAAGCTCCATATGTATAATTCATTAAAAGGGCCTAAGCAAAGGCATTATTGGCCATGTAGGATTAACAACATATGGCTTTTTGTTGAAAAAAGCTGATAAGTGTTAATAATATGTCCAGTTGATAATTTAAATGTTTTCCATTATTTTACAGAGAAACTTAGCGATAACTTTAAATACACAACCTTTAATTTTGTCATACTGTACTCCAGGTATTGTTCGCGTGTGATTTAATTTTGCTTTGTTCGCAAATGTAGTAAAATCACAAACATTTATCGTTGCGAAATTTGTCTTTTAAATCCCCGGGGATTTGACCCCAGACTTTTGATATGTTTCGTACAGTGTAAAACCTTTTGTCCAGTGTTGTTGGGCGATAATTCAAAAAAGGCCTAAAATGTCTAACATTTTGAATTGGCTTATTAGGCCAACAAAGGCAAGAATTGTTCACGACAATGATATCCTACAAATTGAAGTTGAAAAAGCCATTCAAGAATATTCAAATAAATGTCCTAAATTTCTAAATTCAACAATTGATGTACTTGCTAAGCTCATTAATATTATCAATCTGGAGTTTACAGAGCTGGAGGAAAAGAATCAACTTGTGCAATTCGCGAAATATGGAATGTCATCAACTCAAATCCGCGGAATCAAATAGCCGCTAAATTGCAATTTTGAAAAATCGGGAAATTTTATAGCGTCGAAATTTACCAGGAGAACAGTATACTAAATTATCACCAAACAAAGGTGTATTGATCTTTTGTTCCCAAATGCATCCAATTAAAAAGAAATGTTTCAGTTCTGGCATCACCCTTAGCTCCCCTCTCTTTCTGTAACTAAGAGTGGGCAAATGAAGAGAAGGCGTTTTGAGGTTTGTTCTCTGTGGCCACATAAGCATTTAGGACTATCTACATCTCTAAAATTATGTAAGAAAAAATGCCAGAGAAAGTAAAATCACATCTAATACGGTTTAAACATATTTCACTCTTTTGTGATAGTTCTAATTGAGATGTGGGTAATAGTAAATTTTTATTTATAAGATGCGTCTTGACACTTCTCTTAAAACTGGCAAAACTTTTCTTTTCTTTTTGATCAGTCGGGAACTTTTCCCATAAACGTATTGCTTTAGTAACTGGGGATTACGTATACCTTATCTTCAAGATTTAATTCATCAGACATTTTTATTTTTATATGGCACAGTATATTTTTGAGTGGTTTGTGCCATGTAAATGTGTTATTTGTTAAATCAAATATTTTACTCATAATTAATGAATCGTTTAGTAAACTCCCATTTGAACTCAACTCTAAATGACTGAGGTATTTGACTTGTCTATTTATAATATCAACTACCAAAGGTATTCTTCCCAATTCTCCTCTTACTGCCATGTTTTTGGCTTTTCTATGAACCCCGAGAACATATTTTTGTAACCGAATATGATTGTTTTCAATTAAAGCACTTTCGTATTGGTTGTTCTGTTGATCATTTCTGATATTTTGGCAATAATATACCCAAAAGTTATTCTCAAGATATATCCATGGTACGTGAGATATTATATGAGCAATAACAATAGGACATCATTGATTGTCTGGGGGACAAACCTATGGTATAATGCATCTTTAACGAGTGGATAAAAATGATATCACGAAAAAATCATAGGATGTTCTAATTATCCCATAGTGGAGGGCAAATCATCCCATAGTTCACCTTCCAAAGCATTTTACAACAACATTCAGTTTTATTTGTCTGAACTATAGCTAAAACATTAATCATTTCCATATTTGTGACGTCATGAAATCACCATGTAAGCATATAACATGCAACCATGTAACAATGCACGTCACATTGGCAGGAGTTTTCAATCCGTGGAAAAAAGTGATATCTGTGGAATAGAAAAAAGTGATATCTGTGGAATAGAATATTCCACAGATATCGCTTTTTTCCACGCATTTGCAAAATATCATAAATATATATACGTGTTATTCTACAGATTTGACCTCGACTATGGGATGAATGGAGGATATCCTATGATTTATGAGTGATATGATTTTTATCCACATAAATATCCATGAGTGGATTAAAATCATATCAAGAGTAAATCATAGGATGTTCTTTTTATTCCATAGTTAAAGTCATCATCAGAATCGTCGGAAATTAAGTTATTTAATTCGAATTTTCCAAACAATCTGGTGATGTTGACACTTAGCCTCGTTTTGAGTCTGAAGTAGCAAAAATCCATAATTTATAGCAATTGGCGCCGTATGTCATGGCTTTAACACCATATGCTACGGTTAAGTGAAAATTTGTCAAAAATATCATATTTACCACTGATTACAAAAATACCATTTTTATTTTGACATGTTATCCTATGAATATTGAATATCATTCTAACTATGGAATAAAGTCTCATACAAACTCTGAATGTCCTCAATATTTTTCTGCCTTTCATTACTATCCGCATTTATTATGTAGTAGTAAAATAGTTTTACACACACATTGACAATTTGACATGTTAAAATTTTTTTTTTAAAGCTAGGATTTGATGTCCAGCCATTCCCTGTTTACGAGAGACTTATTATATTATGTATAAAATATAAATTTTGATTGAAGGATCCTGCCTTACATGAAGTGGCGCTACAGGAAGGTGCCATACAAGCAGGAGGAAGTGACATCATTAGTCAGGTCAGTTGCTTAGAATTCAAGCTACTATGATTCAAAAGCTTTTAGGGTATTTTTCATTGCATAGTCGTAATTATTTACCCAAATTGTGCAGTTTTATGTCATATCAGATAGTTTATATCAGACACCATTGAAGATATACTGAAGAACTATATTAAAAATTATAGTGCACAAATTCTCATAGGATAGCTGAGAGACAACTGTCAACAGCTAACACAACAGTGAAATGGGCATTGGTTAACTACTCAGAATGAATATTACAGAATATTTTAGATTTCTGAGTAAAAATTGAATCAGTTCTTTTTGTACAAGGAGGACTGGCTCCTTGCATTCTTTTAAAATCTCATTTTTGACATTTTTGGTATAAACCAATTTCGTAATAATATTACTAAAATGTTTATTTCCAGTATTTAGTAAGGAAATGAACATACGTGACATTATGGTAATATACCAAATTGGTCAATGCCAGTTAAAAGAAGAACACAAAAAGAATGCTGGGAGTCAGTCCTCTTTGACTTTGATACTTACCAATTGGGTCATCTGACTAAGGGAGGAATAATTACAACTAAAAATACCATTTTCTTGCCCTGTATTTTTAGATAGAGAATGGATTGATCAATAATAGTGATTTTGACCATGTGGTGTGCACACCTGACATTGTCACAGATCTAGTTCCAATTAGGAAGATATTGCGAGATACTTTCCCCATGCAGCCTAAGGGTATGTATTTTGTTGACCCCGTTGAGGTAGATTTGGTAAATTGTACACCTCCACTGTAAAGTGAGGTCAACAGTAAAATCTAGGTTCATGATGTAGGTGTGCAATAAGTGAATGTATCATGTTTGTCTTCATTTTTCCATCAAAGAGCTAATGATGACCATCAACCATCCAACCATTCATGTTAAAACGGAAAAAAAAATGCAAAATGGTAGAATAAGGAGGAGTATTACATACCTAGCGAAGCATTTGTTTGGAAGTCATTGGAAAAGTATACAGGCTTTATCCACTGAGATTGCCCGATTACACAGATATTGCCCATTTTCTTAAATTATAACAATGACAATATCATGACGTCATGTTTTATTTCAATCAAATTCTACTGTCACACATCTGTCACTTGTGTGACGTCATGTATCATAAGTAGCCATGGGAACAAAGGTATGAAATACAACATTATATGTCACAATGGCGTGAAATATGCCTTCGTTCTTGCCCAAATGTAGATCCCCTCCCAAGGTTGGCCTTTATGAGGAGAACTCAGGCATATTTCATGTAATAGTGACATAACCTCTAAGAGTGAATATTTTAGAAGTGGCCAGTAAGCCATGAAATCTGCAAGGTTGATTTACATTGAGATTTGATATTACATTTACTTTGTTTCTGGCCTCAGGTAGCTTAGGATTGGACATGAAAGAGATGGTTCACAGATTCACAAAGGGAAAGACATTTAACTCATTTCCTGGAGACTCCGAAGCAGAGGGTTTCTTAACAGTTACAGTAGGAAGGCTCGACATGGCAGCTCAACAACTTCATGCAAATCTGGAGGCTTATGTTAAAGCTATTGCTTCAATGAAACCAGGAGGTAAACTGCCTAAATTCTTCAGTTTCACTTAAATTATCAATTAATGTAAGAAGGTCTATTGTCCTTACCTTTGTTAACCCTTAAATATGTTTTATTCATAAAAATATCTAGATTACACATTGGTAGATTTGGAGACAAATCTTCTTTTATTAAACATCAAAACTTGGAATCAGTAACCACAAGTTCCAAAATTGAAATAACTACTCACAACTGACGGACAAGTGAGGTATCATTAAGAAATACAGACCCATATTTTTTTATTACTTTATTAAAATATTTCTTGTCCGTCTGTCTGTATATTAATATAATTAATCCATTTTTATGTTGCAACCACAAATGGTGACAAAATGTTATAGTCTCCAATTTTTTTGTGGATGATGTTTGGTGGTTGATAGGGTTCAGTGTCTGTAACAAATGGCAGGTGGTGACATTTTGCATGTTATTGCCTTTGCTTGTTTATTTACTCCAGCAGGCCACTCTTTTGTGTTAATCTGTATTTTATTTGTACTTAATAAGGGTTTCTTGTTTTTTTTTCTAGGTAGATTCATTTTGAACTCAGTGATGACCTGTCATCCTTCCCCTGAGATGTTCCCTATTAAGATAGATGACTTACTGCCTGAAGTGAAACGTAAAGTTAAAGCCAAGAAGGCTAAGGACATTAAAGACAATGAGGACATTAAAGACAATGAAAATGTAGGAGAAAATAGTGTAACTGAAGAGAAAGCTGCAATTGCATCGGCATCGTGATAATTTTCACATCACCACGAGTGGTAGCATTGGTAGTTATTGGTTTTCAACCATGCTGCTAATAGATAATGTGCATGCTAGAAGTTTATTATAAATAAATTGAATATTATATAAAAGATTATTTTCAGTTATTTTGGGATGGAACGGCTTTGCTTTATGAATAAGTTCTCTACTGTTTTTGATACAAAGTACTGTATTGGGTAAATAGGGTTTGTAGGCTGGCCAAAGTTTCAGCAGTCAAAATTCTCCACATTTGTGAAAAGTGCTTCTGGATTGGTGCAAATTTATTGATAGACTTCTCCATTAAATCCAGACCCCTTTTGGTAAACCAAGGAAATGAGGGTGGTGGACTTTTCTATAAATCCTGCCATCCTTGGATCCATCAGAAAAACTATAATATATTGACTAAATTGATGATGTCATCGGTTGTAGGAGGCAGCAATCTGTCCACGCAAAAATATGATTTACTTATTGCTAATTTTGAAAAAGAACAACCAATGACATCGTCATTCTAGCCAATATATAAAAGCATTAAGAAGATTTTGAAAATTAAGTCTCAGTCACTTTTGCTCTACGATGGTCATAACCAAATCTGTCTGGCCCAGTTATCTACTCCTGACGTCGAAGATCTGAATATATCAGAATCAGGAAGTAGATAACTGGGCCAGACGAGTTGGGTGTGTATTATATGTCTCTGGATGGTCCTAGCTTCACAAATTCGATATAGCAAATCTACATTGCAATGCATATACTTATATTAGTATTTCATGCTGCATATTTGTCTCGATTTTGGGAAGCTACGGCAGCCTTACAGATGCTGTAGATCTTGAAAATGTGACTGAGACAATCGAAATAGATTAATTCCACAAAGTGAAAGTGGTGAAAACCATACTTGAGAAAGAATGAGTGGATTGTAAAATATTTATTCAAATCTTATCTGTTGTATATTTAGATATATTTCTTAGAACTAGGATTTAATGACGTTTTGAAATATGAAAGTCCTTTGAATTCATGTCTCGTGTTCTTTAACTTTGACATCATTATATGATTTAAGATGTTACAAGACACTAGAGAGTGCAGAGAAAGTTGAATATTGAATGGGAATGAGCTCAGTCATTATATCATATAAACTATTTATTCATGATGCAAAATCGAAATCAATGTTCATTATTTCATAATCTAATTAACATTCTCACTTCACAAGGAACAATAACAATATGATTGTGTCATTGCAAATACTTTTATCCCCCCTTCACATATAATAGTGAGAGGCTATATTGTCGGGGCTATGCGCGTATGTATGTATGTCTTTGGATGTCCCTCAGTGGAGAGGTTAAGCTAACGATGTTTTTCACAACGTAACCGTGAACGCAAAGTACAAAAACTAACAAAGGAATGTATCGAGCGCTCATAGTTTTATGCGCGCTTAGTCTACTTCAGATACTCTTTCAGCTTCAGAGTTTCGGGTTTAGAACGGGAGATTTGAATATTTGACGTTGGGTCAACGGGAACCATTTTACTCGTGTCTATTGAACACTATGCTGTCAATTTTGATTTCGATGCACAGTTGAATTCTTGCTGAACACGATGATGTATGTCATGCATGATTTAGCGCCAAAAATCTTACGAAACGAGCTCGTTTAAAATATGTATTAGAAAACCAGCTATAAAACCGCATCAATGACATACTATAGAATCATTACACGCTATGGTGTAGTCTAAACAAACACTGGATTTGAACGGCTATTTATATGAGAAGGCTGCATGAATTTGTATATGGTCGAGTGATACGTACAGGTTCAGTTTCGATTATATATGCAAAGCTTAACCTCTCCAGTCTGTCTGTACGTCCGATAGTTTTATCCAAAACGCTAGAGATGTAATCTTCTTTTCAAGGATAACTTTTTTGAATTTTAAAACTTGAACATGTAAACGTGTTTCCAGGCGAACAGCGAACTCCCGTGCAGTGATATATCACTGCGGCGGGCAGGTGTCTCACCGTAAGCATGGTAACATCGTAATAAACAACTGACGTGATTGTAAAATTTAGACAATTTCATTGGTTGAATTGCGCGTATTAACTAATAAACAACACATGCGGTAAACTTTTATCAACACAACTTTTACTCAGAATTCCTTCCGCGGGGATTTGCTCTTATATTTCATTGATTTGGGAATATTTTGACAAAATAATTATTGGTGAACATAAAAGAACATATATTTTATAAGTTGTGTGAAAAACAAGTACATCTGTGACAAAAAGGGGGACTATCTTCCCCAAATTTTGGGGATTCCATAATCTGCCCGCCACAGTGTCTATACCGAGACACTGCATAGGAGTTCGGGCGAACAGTACACGTTTGTGTCCTTGTAATGTTTATTAATATTCTCATAGTATCCATTTACTTCATGGATGCAACAGAAGATACGAATTACAATATGAAAGGACTGGTTTATTGAAGGATCGTGAAACATTGTGCTTTAAACATGAAGTACAAATGGTTCAATGATATTCTCGAACATGTGTACTTTTGACAAAGTCTACTAAATACATGAAAGAGCTCAACCGTTAAGCTAGATTTTCAAGGCTTAGAAAAAGTATTCTGCCAATTCTGCAGACAACCATTTTATCATACTGCACTGTAATGGTTCATATGTTCAACTTGTCCATCAGTTTAAGCCTTATGTTTTGATATTGTCATTTTCAATTTTAGGTTCATTCGCCTTCAATATGGGCGCTTTCGGCCCAATCTTTGGTTTCTTTTTTGTTCCATATACAATTAAATTATAAGCTTGTGTGATATCCATTATAAGCTTTGGGAGGTCTAAAATAACGACCACCGAGATAAAGATAATAGGTGGGACACATACTGGGATTGCTATAGCAGCTGCATATTTCGCTTCACGTGGCTCATACTCGATTCTTTTAATATACACATATTCATCAGCCTTTTCAGCTTCCTCTGCTATGTCTTTAAATACAATCATCAAAGGTGAAGTTTTGGTCATAGCAGTTTCTGGCGATGCTTTAAATCCAGTTGGAATTGTTTGGTTTGGATATGAAGTAGAGATGACAGTTTGTTTGGTGGTTCTAGTTGTTGTTGAGATATCACGATTTCTTTGTGCGACAATGTCATCAGTTGTGATGGTTCCAGTATTCGTGGTTAAAACGACTTCAGTTGTGATGGTTTCTGTCTCCCTTGTGACGATTTCATCCGTTGTGATGGTTCCTGTTTTTGTTGTGGCAATCTCATCAGTTTTGGTGGTGCCAGTATTTGTCGTGACTTTGGCATCAGATGTGATGGGTCCAGTATTAGTCGTGACAATGTCACCAGTTGTGATGACTCCAGTTGTGATCGTTGGAGTATTCGTTGTGACGATGTCATCAGTTGTGATAACTCCTGTATTCGTTGTGACGATGTAATCAGTTGTGACAATGTCATCAGTTGTCATGACACCAGTATTTGTTGTGACAATGTCATCAGTTGTGATGAATCCAGTATTTGTTGTGACAATGTCATCAGTTGTTGGTTGATTATTGTGTCTATTTTTACACGTCGTTGGACCATAGGATACTGCAAGTAAGAATGAATTTATGTTTTCTAATTCATTTCGAACTTAGTATCTCCATCTCTTTTGTTGCGTTTATCTACTTATACAAACAACAACTTTAAATTATTAGGAGAGAAAGAAACAAAACATTACATGCCCTCAAAATTCGAGCCAAATTATCATGCCCTGTAAAAGAATAGCTTGTGAGAACGTAACCAGAGGGCATGCTCCCCGGAACATTTGGGAGTTTTGGGCTGATTTTGTGCGTTCTGAGCAATTCTAAGATTAAAATATATGAATTACGTATTTCAAAATTTTAGCCTTTTTTGGTGCATTCTGATCGTTCTAGGGATCAAAATATATAATTTATGGATTTTAAAAAATCGAATTTTTAGGCTTATTTGACACGTCGTTCTGAGTGATTCTAGGATCAAAATCACATGCTCCACTGAAAAATTTAAGATTTTTGGGCTGATTTAGTGCGGTCTGAGCGATTCGAAGATCAAAATATATGATTTAAGTATTTTAAAAAATTGAATTTTTAGACTTATTTGGTACGTTCTGGGCGACTCTAGGATCAAAATATATGATCTCTTTAAAAAAGTGAATTTTAGGCTTATTTGGCGCGTTCTGAGCGATTAAAAGATCAAAATATATGATTAATTTCAATTTACATTTTTGGTCTCGACTCTTAATAGAACGCGATTGCATATTTTGCGTATATTTAGCTACGCCAATTTGAAGTTTGACCTTTGTTTGTAGGCCCCAATTTATGGAGCACAACTTAGGGGGGGGGGGGGGTCCTCTCACGTCCGTCAGTGAGACGGTGTAAGATTTTGCACTTTAAACACGCACCATCCATAAAAATTAATTTTCCAATTAAATACAAAAAACGAATCATTTAGTTGCCTCGCTATTCCAGTCAATTTAGAATTTTATAAAATGAAATTGGCAATCACAGCAAAATACACCGTACATATGTCACCAAATGTTACCTTCTACCTCGAAATGCAAGGAAATTCTTCAAGAAAGCAAAAAAAGGTAGGTCCACATTTTTTAAGGAGATATCTGGAGCCCCCCCCCCCCCCTGGCTACGGACCTGCATTATGCTCAGGGCATAATGATGTTCTGTATTATTTTTTTATTACGCCATGTATTAATTATTGATTATTACACCTTATACATCACCATTACCTTGTGTAGCGTAAATCTCAACATTACAAATCATCCAATCTGGGTTTTGATTGCTGTCTAATACAATAGCCACACGATCCCCAAACATAGAATCTCCACACTCATACAGAACAGGAATTGAATGTTGAGCATCTGCCCCTTTGATGCAATAATCAATTCCAGTTTCATCCCCGTCAGTATGCACCTTGATATCAAACATCTGAATTGTGTCCAATAATGAGGAAATATCTGAAAAAAGGAGGTTCAATTTTGGAAATACAAAAATACAAAGCATGGCAATCCATTTAACTATGTCTAAAACCCAAATCAGTCAGTTCGAAGCCTCACCAAAAGAAAGTTTTTTCTTAATGTTCCAGTGGCGGATCCGGGGGGGGGGCATGGGGGCCTGCCCCCCCCCCCCCCCTAAATTGGGCCCAAAACTTTGGGCCAAAAAAGGCCTTAAGGCTCCAAAAGGTGGGCCTTTTTGGTCAATACTAGGCCTTCTAAGGCCTTATTTTTTAATTTGAGGCCAAATTTTGAAGAAAATGGGCCTCAAATTTTCAAAATTTGAACTGTGTTCTATATACTAGTATCAGATATCTTTTTCAAGTCATAGCCTACTTACTAAAGTTAATTATCAGTTCATTGATTTGAAAACAGCCTCCCAAATCAAATGCTATCTCCCTTGTACCGGAGGTTACAGCAGCACAAGTATCGTATGGAGACAAGTCATACTTACTAAAGTTAATTATCAGTTCATTGATTTGAAAACAGCTTCCCAAATTAAATGTTATCTCCCTTGTACCAGAGGGTACAGCAGCACAAGTATCGCATGGAGACAGGTCATACTTACTAAAGTTAATTATCAGTTCATTGATTTGAAAACAGCTTCCCAAATTAAATGTTGTCTCCCTTGTACCAGAGGGTACAGCAGCACAAGTATCGTATGGAGACAAAGTCATACTTACTACAGTTAATCATTAGTTCATTGATTTGAAAACAGCTTCCCAAATTAAATGCTATCTCCCTTGTACCAGAGGGTACAGCAGCACAAGTATCGTATGGAGACAGGTCATACTTACTAAAGTTAATTATCAGTTCATTGATTTGAAAACAGCGTCCCAAATTAAATGCTATCTCCCTTGTACCAGAGGGTACAATAGCACAAGTATCGTATGGAGACAGGTCATACTTACTAAAGTTAATTATCAGTTCATTGATTTGAAAACAGCCTCCCAAATTAAATGCTATCTCCCTTGTACCAGAGGGTACAATAGCACAAGTATCGTATGGAGACAGGTCATACTTACTAAAGTTAATTATTAGTTCATTGATTTGAAAACAGCCTCCCAAATTAAATGCTATCTCCCTTGTACCAGATGGAACAGCACAAGTATCGTATTGGGACAAGTTATACTTGCTAAAGTTAATTATCAGTTCATTGATTTGAAAACAGCATCCCAAATCAAATGCTATCTCCCTTGTACCAGATGGAACAGCACACGTATCGTATGGAGACAAGTCATACTTACTAAAGTTAATTTTCAGTTCATTGATTTGAAAACAGCCTCCCAAATTAAATGCTGTCTCCTTTTAACCAGAGGGAACATGGGTACAAGTCATACTTACTAAAGTTAATTATCAGTTCATTGATTTGAAAACAGCCTCCCAAATTAAATGCTATCTCCCTTGTACCAGAGGGTACAATAGCACAAGTATCGTATGGAGACAAGTCATACTTACTAAAGTTAATTTTCAGTTCATTGATTTGAAAACAGCCTCCCAAATTATATGCTATCTCCCTTGTACCAGAGGGTACAACAGCACAAGTATCGTTTGGAGACAAGTCATACTTACTAAAGTTAATTATCAGTTCATTGATTTGAAAACAGCCTCCCAAATTATATGCTATCTCCCTTGTACCAGAGGGTACAACAGCACAAGTATCGTATTGAGACAAGTCATACTTACTAAAGTTAATTATCAGTTCATTGATTTGAAAACAGCATCCCAAATTAAATGCTATCTCCCTTGTACCAGATGGAACAGCACAAGTATCGTATTGGGACAAGTTATACTTACTAAAGTTAATTATCAGTTCATTGATTTGAAAACAGCCTCCCAAATTAAATGCTATCTCCCTTGTACCAGATGGAACAGCACAAGTATCGTATTGGGACTAGTTATACTTACTAAAGTTAATTATCAGTTCATTGATTTGAAAACAGCCTCCCAAATTAAATGCTATCTCCCTTGTACCAGATGGAACAGCACAAGTATCGTATTGGGACAAGTTATACTTACTAAAGTTAATTATCAGTTCATTGATTTGAAAACAGCCTCCCGAATTAAATGCTATCTCCCTTTTACCAGATGGAACAGCACAAGTATCGTATTGAGACAAGTCATATACTTACTAAAGTTAATTATCAGTTCATTGATTTGAAAACAGCCTTCCAAATCAAATGCTATCTCCCTTGTACCAGGGGGAACAGCACAAGTATCGTATTGAGACAAGTCATACTTACTAAAGTTAATTATCAGTTCATTGATTTGAAAACAGCCTCCCAAATCAAATGCTATCTCCCTTGTACCAGATGGAACAGCACAAGTATCGTATTGAGACAAGTCATACTTACTAAAGTTAATTATCAGTTCATTGATTTGAAAACAGCATCCCAAATCAAATGCTATCTCCCTTGTACCAGATGGAACAGCACACGTATCGTATGGAGACAAGTCATACTTACTAAAGTTAATTTTCAGTTCATTGATTTGAAAACAGCCTCCCAAATTATATGCTATCTCCCTTGTACCAGAGGGTACAACAGCACAAGTATCGTTTGGAGACAAGTCATACTTACTAAAGTTAATTATCAGTTCATTGATTTGAAAACAGCCTCCCAAATTAAATGCTATCTCCCTTGTACCAGATGGAACAGCACAAGTATCGTATTGAGACAAGTCATATACTTACTAAAGTTAATTATCAGTTCATTGATTTGAAAACAGCCTCCCAAATTAAATGCCATCTCCCTTGTACCAGATGGAACAGCACAAGTATCGTATTGGGACAAGTTATACTTACTAAAGTTAAATATCAGTTCATTGATTTGAAAACAGCCTTCCAAATCAAATGCTATCTCCCTTGTACCAGGGGGAACAGCACAAGTATCGTATTGAGACAAGTCATACTTACTAAAGTTAATTATCAGTTCATTGATTTGAAAACAGCCTCCCAAATTAAATGCTATCTCCCTTGTACCAGATGGAACAGCACAAGTATCGTATTGAGACAAGTTATACTTACTAAAGTTAATTATCAGTTCATTGATTTGAAAACACCCTCCCAAATTAAATGCTATCTCCCTTGTACCAGATGGAACAGCACAAGTATCGTATGGAGACAAGTTATACTTACTAAAGTTAATTATCAGTTCATTGATTTGAAAACACCCTCCCAAATTAAATGCTATCTCCCTTGTACCAGATGGAACAGCACAAGTATCGTATTGAGACAAGTCATACTTACTAAAGTTAATTATCAGTTCATTGATTTGAAAACAGCCTCCCAAATCAAATGCTATCTCCCTTGTACCAGATGGAACAGCACAAGTATTGTATTGGGACAAGTTATACTTACTAAAGTTAATTATCAGTTCATTGATTTGAAAACAGCCTCCCAAATTAAATGCTATCTCCCTTGTACCAGAGGGTACAACAGCACAGGTATCGTATGGAGACAGGTCATTTACAGCCGATGAAACCGATTGTGATGTTGTTATATTCTGAGGATATATATTTTGTTTTCCTGAAAACACATCTAATGGTATATCCATATTGCATTAATAGCATAATATGATGGGGTCTTATATGTTGTTTTCCTATTTTATATTTGTTGAGAGAGAGAAACAGTAACAATACTTCCTGTTCAATAATTTTCCAACATAAAGAACATATTTTACGAAGTCAAAACATAGTATTGTAAGATAACACATCATTCTGTTATTGTGGTCATGCTTTCTTTCTTTGATTTGTCTTTTAAAAATACCAGTATGCCTAACCATATAAAGTAAAAACTGTTTACATGAAGAAATGTTTGAACAGAACAGTTGCTTTACGATGATATCATGATCCATCATCATTTTTTGTTCGAATATACATTTGAAAAGGACTGCAACCATTGTTTTCTCAAATATATATTTGAAAAGGACTGCAACCGTTGTTTTTTAAAGGACTGCATCCATTGTTTGTTCAAATGTATATTTGAAAAGGACTGCAACCATTGTTTGTTCAAATATATATTTGAAAAGGACTACAACCATTGTTTTCTCAAATGTATATTTGAAAAGGATTGCAACCATTGTTTGTTCAAATATATATTTGAAAAGGACTGCAACCATTGTTTTCTCAAATGTATATTTGAAAAGGATTGCAACCATTGTTTGTTCAAATATATATTTGAAAAGGACTGAAACCATTTGTTTTCTCATCTGATTTACTATTCATCAATTAACTAGATCATTTACCGTTCATGATATATCTGTAAATTAAGCATTGTGTTGAATTTCAAATAAGAAACGTTCGTCAACATTATTGAAAAAATCATATCATTTGCAATATCACCAATTTCCATACATGTATTTATCATTTCGTTTATGTTATGTATTAGACAATATATTTATAACTTACTTATGCAGTGGTATTTGATAACTGCTGTTACGTTGTGGCTTTCATCACAATCATTAGGTCTGAGATTGGAATAATCATCATAGTTTACTATGCACTCATTTTGCTTATCACACTTGTCCTTGATCTCATTGATGTTCCCAACTGGCTGGATATTGCACGAGGAGTTGTACTCAAACCCACACAAATAGTTGATTCCATTGCTGTTGTTGCTTTGTCCCACTTCGACAGTATCAATAACTAGAACATCGTCCCCCTGACATGATAGTCTAGTACTTTTATCTGATGTCTCGCAGCCAGTTTTCTTCAGTGTTTGGGCTGAAAGAGGTGACTGGTCAACATTTAATTTCCTGTCATGTACTTAAATAAGGAATCCACAAAACTGATATTCATGATATATATAATTACTCTTACACCCACCCTGGTGTACATTAAAAATTAAACATATATAAACATATTCTAAAGTTCATCATTACCATTTTTATATGTCTCCGTCTCGAAACAGCTTGTGTTTTGCAGATGTACTGAATAGATAGTGACGTTACCACTTGCAAACACAAGAAAATCCTTTGTGGTTTCATTCAATGGGGTATCTTGTTCTGCTGTTACACTGGTGAAGATTTGGACTCCATTTAGAAAGTATCCGATCATTTCCTCATCTCTTGTCATAGTTATTTGAAGTATATTTGAATGTTTCACGATTTCCATATTTAGTTTTACCGTGTGAACCTTTCTTGCATCATTTGAAGTGAGATAGGTAAGAAGCTCAATGTTGTCAATGGAATTACTGAATATCATTCCAAAGGTGTCAGACACCTTAATAAAAACAGTTGCATTATGTTGTTCTAACCTAGTGATATCTATCCACGCTTCTAAACAGAACGTGTTGTTGAGTTTACTCGAGGGTACGCTATCATTTATTGTTATAACACCACTTGGCATCGTATTCAGCCCTACATAGCCCCCCTTTTCATCCACACTATTCCCTATCGTAGAAGAACACACAAAGCAATTGTGAAATAAGCAAATGAGAAGTTTGAATTTAAACAGCAGAATAAAGTACATTGTATTATACAAAAAACTAGTACATTACGTTGATGATTATACAGTAGACAGGCAATAAACATTTCCTTTATCAGCCAATGTGATATTAAGTAAATTAACCAACACGACTACTATCTAATAATATTTGGCAGTATGATACGATGCTATACACGGAAATAGTGAAAGAAAACATTAAAATTCTATTGATACACAATGATGATTTTTAGTAAAAAAAACATGCCCCGAAAAATAAATGTAAGTAATAATGTTTTTACCTTGGGGAATTCCAACAGGTTCAAGTGAGAGTGTATTGAAATTGTAAACAATGATCGTTGTTGGTGTCTTCTCGAAATCACAACAGCCTAAGGATAAAAGGTATGACTATATGGCATTTGTTCAGTCGTATATTGATATTCACTCGTGGATAAATAGCAGATCTATCAATGGAGCCTTGTCATAATTGAAACAATTAGGTTTTGTAGCTTTAAAAATAAGTATAACTGACCAGCACCTAGTGCACGTTTGATATTATCTTATATGTACGAGCTCCTCTTTAATGCCTAAAGCGCCATTGAAGAGTTTTCTGTAAGGAAGTATTCTTATACTAAAATAAACTGTCTGCAAAATATAATAAGCAATGGTATAAGCCATTGTGATTCAATTCCAATAATAAGCATATGATGATAATCAGATTCAGATTCAGAGGGATGTGCTAATCAGAACTACGTCTCTGTTCTGTTCTGCTCAGTTTCTGTTTTACTTTAATTTCTGATTTTTGAGTCTAGTCTTTCTGGCTACTCATTTTTATATGTAAATGCCTCCAAGGAAGAATTCAGATGATAGTCACAACAACTCAAATTACTTCTCCATCACCTTCCTATAGATTTTTCAATGGTAGATTTGGACTCTCTTTCATGATGAGATTTTGTTTGCTACGCGGACCATGTCTGCTTTATTATTTGGTATGCATATACATTTGAAAAAATGGACTATTAACGTTTCGTTAGTGACATTTGAGATTTTTACAATAGAAACACCCTAGAGATGTCCATACCTGCACATTTCAAGTCATCACCAGCCCATTCACCATACCCTAACTTATTTATCTCGCATTCTTTTGTGAATTCCCCGGAATAATAACTGTACCCGGGCAAGCATTTGTACTCGACTATTGCGCCAACATTCCGTCCGTCCTGATGAGATATCATCGAATGGCCAGTGGATGGATCTGTTAACTTCTGACAATGAACCTCTGTAATAATATTCCACAAAACCATAATAAGTTCTTCAAGGGTGTAGTCATGATTAAAAAGAAGGTGAGGCAAATTTAGATATATGAGGCAAATTTAAATATATGAGGCAAAACTTAAGCAATAGAAGATTTCATGCTTCCATGGGGCGTGATTTGCCCTCTTTGGGAAATAATATATCTTTGTTGTACTGTAAAGATAACACATTCTATGAATATCTAAGCACAAGTGTCAAAGGAAAATGACCAAAAACATACATACATACATAAAGAACCTAGCAAGAAAAACCTGTAAACCTGTCATAAGAAAAATAAAACATGATCTAACGTAAAAAGAAATAATGTCTAATGTCACTTCTTTTTGTAGTCAAATAATATGAAATTGAAGCTGATCAAAATGGCGCCATATTCTTAATTAAATGTTATTGCACATTTTTTTTAACTTCAAGTTTTGATAAAATTATTGATAGATAAAGGATATTCACATTAAAATTCTCGGTAAACTGGTCGATAATAAAATATATCCGCATTAATATTGTCGAAAACCTGATTGTTAGCGCTATGGAAATATTCTCACCTTCTGGAATGGAACATCCGATGACGTCAAATCTCATGTTTATGTGAATATTCCAGGTTTGAGGATTAATGCGCACAAATCTGGCTAGCACGGGTGGTTCAATCACGTTAGTAACGTAACTGTTTTGGTCCACATTTCCTGTTAGGACCTTTAATTAGAAACGAGAAAAGTTAGCTTTATGAAAATGTTACTACGTGTTCAAGCGTAACGCATATCGTTTAGCTAATCGAACGCCCACTTTTGGTGTAGGTCACGTTTAGTATAAAAGGCGCGATCCGGAATAATATTCTAAGGGGCTCAGGTTTGAGGTCGTTAAAAGTCGTAGCAATAGTTGTATAGTATCTGTGGATCTTTACACATTTATCACTGTTCCACAACTACTTACTTTGACGGAACGTCAATGTAACAAAATGTATGAACTTCCTGGATACGTAATTCGTCAAAGTAATTCCTCAATGTAACAAAAGCGAGGGACTAAATATATGAATTGCAACTTTGTTTACAAAACAAATTCCGAAGAAATTCATTTAAAGTCCCCGATAAATCGGGCTACGTATACCGCCGTGTTTACATTAGGGGATTAGAAGAGTTTATTTTTTATTTAGGTATGCAAGCTACGTATATCAATATTAGGCCTTCATTCATGTACTCGTGTGCATGTAATCGGCATGCCCTTCAATATTATGTAAACCAGGCTATTGAAGTACTGTATAATGTACACTATTTATGTGTGTACTACATACATACAATACAATTCCCTGGGAAACAAAACACAAATACTTTTTATATGTTCAAAATGAGCCATTTGATTGATGCAAACACTAAATAGCTTCATAAATAACATCTACAAAGTATATCTAATAGTGCGCCTGCGCAGTTTTAAACTTTGGCGCACACTTTAAGCTAGACTATATTTTCTAGCTTTGTGCCAAATTACAATCTGCAACTTAATTTACAAGTAGGTTAAAATCGAGAAGCCAAAGAATTCGTCAAATTTTAAGGTACATGTAGAACGAAAACATTTTTCTTTTAGTAAACATGGAAACAGGTCAATGGTAACTCCAGTGTTGTCAAAATGGGACAATTAGAAAGCATGAAATATCAGCATTTCACCTGCAGGTAAAGCATTTTTTCGAAAACGTTTTCGTTCCATCATCACCTTAACCATGCCTTAATAGTACCTTCGGCCCTCATACTCCTCATAAAATTATCCCAAGGGGAATAAATGGTGATTTTAAGGTTTTCCACTACTTAGATTTTTTTAGATTTTTGATATGTTGTTTTACTTACCAATGGCTATTGATTACACTAGGTTTACTCTGTGTTGCAATTTTTTCATTTATTTGTGAAAATTTACAACGATTTTACTGGAGTATCAGTCCAATATTTCATTATATTGCCCGCAGAAATTACGTTATTAGTATTATTACCACCGTTAGTGACCATGACTGAAACAGCAAGAAAATTTTAGGCACTGAACGATATCTAATTTCCCGGGGAAAATTGCCGGTCATTAATTGCATTATTGACCGGCAATATGGACCGCCACTATGACGTCACATATTGCTCAGGTCCATATAGTAAAATGAATGCCTTCTAAACTAGCACTAAAACCCCTAGAACTGGCCCGGCAAGGTGGTAATAATACAAAGTAAGGTCTTATGAAATGTGTTGTAAGCAGATTTATATCGGCTGATTGACACATGCCCTCATGGGTAATTAACTAAATTAACTTTTTGACGGATTATTTTGAGATCCAGTAGACTCATCGCCTGGACCTGCCATTTTGCTCTTACACTGGAAGCTCATCAAAACCCTTTGAGGACTCGACTAAATATTGGGAGAAAGATATCTCAATTACCTTTCTGTACTCCTCCCGATTCTCCTCAGTTTTACCGTAAAATAATTTGTATGATGTAACCCATTGGTTCAAGCTAGCGCTTCCTTGAGTAATAACTCCATTCACTAACATAACGTCACCAAGGTCAACTTGAATCCACTGGTTGACATCATCACCATATTCGGCTGCCCAGCCTCCTCTCAAGGTTTCCCTAGAATTCAAATTAGTGTTTATTAATTTCTACAGGAGCAATATGATTGTGTGGGATTTGACCAATATTATGATTAAAATAGTAATACCCATGAGGATATTTGACCCATATTATGACTAAAATAATAATACCCATGAGGGAATTTGACCCATATTATGACTAAAATAATAATACCCATGAGGGGATTTGACCCATATTATGACTAAAATAATACTATCCATGAGGGAATTTGACCCATATTATGACTAAAATAATAATACCCATGAGGGGATTTGACCCATATTATGACTAAAATAATACTATCCATGAGGGAATTTGACCCATATTATGACTAAAATAATAATACCCATGAGGGAATTTGACCCATATTATGACTAAAATAATAATACCCATGAGGGGATTTGACCCATATTATGACTAACATAATAATACCCATGAGGGGATTTGACCCATATTATGACTAAAATAATACTATCCATGAGGGAATTTGACCCATATTATGGCTAAAATAATAATACCCATGAGGGGATTTGACCCATATTATGATTAAAATAATAATACCCATGAGGGGATTTGACCCATATTATGATTAAAATAATAATACCCATGGAATAACATATTTTTAGCAGAGTGAATTCGAAATGTCATTTTTCGGTTTTTCCAATAGTAACGTTAACTGCAATGTTGATATGAAAGCCATTTCAACGTCAACATACGTTTGTGGTGTGTCTAGTCTAGATCTGTTTGTACCCATAGAAGGATCAAAAGTCCCGGATGCAGCGATGTTTGCGTCGTCAACATGGTAAACATCTCCGGATATCAATCGTTCTAAATGTTTACAGTGACCTAAATTGTAACGGGATGTATCATGTTATAATATACCTTTCCATGACCCATGTCTGCCAAGAAACTTAAAGGCCCGATATAAAGTTTAAGCCACTTTGGTTTAAAATATAGTCTTACCCGCAATGCTACCAAAATATGGTATGCGAAGTGGTTTTTGAAGGACTTTTTGTTCGAAAAATAAAACTAAATACAAGAGGTTACAAATATCTTTTGATAATTCACAATTCACAACAATGGATAGCACTCATCCCTATGAGTCTTTTGTCGAGTGATAAGACTATTAGTTGATTAATAAAGCGAGAAATCAACTTATCCATGCATGAAAATGGTTCAGATGAAAATGTGTTTTAAAATTTTAGTTCTAATATGGGCCAATGGTGCAGTGATATTTAAAACATAATCATTGAGAGTTTAGCATATCGAGAAAAGATTGACATAGAAAAATCTGAATTAAAGAATGCAACCTGGGCTATATCATGATGATGTCACTTAGTTTGCAATTTGTATACTATATCATCTATGGCACATTAGATATGACATTTTATCTTTGTGTGATTGTTCAATCTTTACAATGGCGTTAAAATAATGTGTTTTGCACTGTATAATGGAATATTTGATGATTAGAAATGTCATTTACACATAGCTAGGCAAGGTGTGTCCGATTCCAGCAAATCCGAACAGAGTATTCACATAACTGTGTGTGAAATATCAATAACACATACAAGGTCACTAGTTAAACAGTTGTCATGGATAATGAATGGATTTTTCACATTGGATTTGCCAACTTGACCCTTGCAAAACAAAAAATGTGTTCTTTTGGTGATTCCGTTCCTTTTGGATGATTTTATAGAAAAATATTTGTAATGTGTGAAAGGAATTGAAGTCCAAGACTCAATGCATTGTAGCTGCTTCATTCCACCCAGGCGTTGTTCTCAAGTTTGCATTCTCTCTGCGCGGTCATGCAAAGGTTTGGAAACAACACCTTCATGATATGATTTGGCAAATGATGCATTGAGGCTTGGGCTTAAATCCTTTAACAATTATTTGAAAAATGGCGGGAAATTTGAATGTTTGAGAAATGAAAAGATGGCAACTTTTCTTTAAAATGTTTTTATCAAAAAATCTTTAGAATAACTTTTGAAGATATGAAAAATAGAAGATGAATGATACCGCGTAACATTATGTATACGTACCAGGCAAGTTACACCAATCCAGGTTACACTGCGTCCATTCGTCATCGGCAGCATTTCCATTGGCACTACCTCCCACATCACGACATTCCTTTCCCTGCATCTCAATCCTTCCTTGCACTTTGTGTGTATCGTTAGGACATGAGCCTAAACTTACAAGAAGGCATTAACATGACAAAATGTCACCACCTAGTTGAAGCAAGATAAAAAAGACCTTTTTGACCTTGAGGAGGTCATTAAAGGTCAAATCTATTTTGACCTTGAGAATGTCATTGAATGTCAAGTCTATAGTCAGATTTGTAATCTTGAGATCTTGAGATGATTTTGAAAAAAAACGGTAAATTTGAAGCAAGTTGAAAAAAGACTTTTATGACCTTTTTTGACCTTGAAAAGGTCATTGAAGGTCAAATCTTAAATATTAAGTCAAATTTTAACTTCTGAAAACATGTAGATGATTTTGGAAACAATTGAAGTCAGTCTATACAGTATTTGTTAAATTATTTGAAGTTGTAAGAATCTGCTACAGACCCAATATACGTCACTAATTACAGAAGCCAATATGTCAACGCTGTTTTAATGTATTGAATATATGAACATATTGAAGCCGAGACTTATCTTATTCAATTTCTGTTTTTAACAGATATCTCCTGCAAATTTTAAGATTTTTAAATTGATTTGATTGGTTGATGATTAACCCGAATAGCAGCCTAATCATTGCCTTTCAAACTTATTTCTTCATTGATTTGATCGTTACATTTGATAGATAAATTATTATCCCGAACGTGTACTAATTACTTAGTACAATGATAATTGTAATTCAATTGTTGTTAACGTTGCAGCATTGGAAAACAAAACATCACCAAGGAAACACTAATGCAGCTATTAAAGTGCTTCGATTATATTTTCTTTTCTGTATACTATGTATACTATGGGTATCAAGACGTTTCACCCCCTGGACGTTTCACCCCTAGACTGTTCACCCCTTAGACATTTCACCCCCTGGACATTTCACCCCCTAGACACTTCACCCCCTAGACGTTTCACCCCCTGGACGTTTCACCCCCTGGACGTTTCACCCCCAAGACATTTCACCCCTAGACGTTTCATCCCTTAGACGTTTCACCCCTAGACGTTTCACCCCTTAGACATTTCACCCCCTAGACATTTCACCCCCTAGACATTTCACCCCCTAGACATTTCACCCCAATATACAGTCTGTGTATTGTACAATGTGATGGGTTGGATTATAAGTGAATTTTGACTTAATTTATATGAGTGCATATATACTGATTTCTTTTCCAAGTAACATTGACTGGAAAAGGTCCTAGTGTATAAAACCACAACAATATTGGTACAAATAATTTCTAAAATAAGTTTGCTCTTTGCACTAATTAAAGATGCTAGTCTCTAATTGCCTAGATAATCCCTTCCCTTGTTATCAATTGCATTATTAAAAAGCAACAAACCGATTTATTATTATTTAGATTTAGAAAATTAATCCAATTGTTTTTTCTTCTTGTAGGTACATGAGGTAACATGTTATTTATAATGATATAAAAGCATTAGTTTTATGGTAAACAATTAGACATGGCATTAATTAGATGTGAAATTAATTAGAATTGTATAAGATTTAAATTAAAGGGAACTTTCTAGTATACCTGCCATGTTATCTGGCCCGAACGAGCCACCTGGTGTTGAAACTTGTAACTACCTACTCACCTCTGCGTTAATTCTAGTGACTTACAGCACTTGTTATTTGATTATGCTATTTGGAACACTTGGTAATTAAATTGTGATTTTAATTAATCAAACCCACGCTAAACCCTATTACATAAAATCATCTTAAATTCACTAAAAGTTACTGATCAAAATGTGTCAATAGGAAATATGTTCTATAATATATGCCATTTACACTAAGGGTATTCAGTTCTAACAAAGAGAAATACTTGAATGAAATATGTAGGAGTAAAAAATTAAGACTAAAATGTCTAGGGGGTGAAACGTCTAAGGGATGAAATGTCTAGGGGGTAAAATGTCTAAGGGGTGAAACGTCTAGGGGTGAAACGTCTAGGGGGTGAAGTGTCCAGGGGGTGAAATGTCTAAGGGATGAAATGTCTAGGGGTGAAACGTCCAGGGGGAGAAATGTCCAGGGGGTGAAATGTCTAAGGGGTGAAATGTCCAGGGGGTGAAACGTCTAAGGGGTGAACAGTCTAGGGGTGAAACGTCCAGGGGGTGAAACGTCTAGAAAGCTATACTATGTACAATGTACTATTTCTTTTGTACACACTATTTCATAGTGTTTGTGAGGCAAAATTAAGCACAATCTTTTCTCTAATCTGTGCTATTGGTTTACATTTATTTCAACATTTACCAGTGAACTGGGATAATTCCCTATGAAACAACAACGTGATTTGGTAGGATATAGTCATTTCAAATTATTATTTTAATACTGTTAATTGTATTGTTTCTATTTCATTCACAGTGTAAACGTTTGAACTAATGTCATATTAAGCGAGGATTAATTTTTAATGAATTATTGATTGATTAATGTATTGCTACAAAATTTTCTCACTTGGGACCTTTAAAACACTCACCGATTGAAGCAGGTACGAACTGATACCCATTCGATATATTGGTGTAGCACCAGTCTAGATGACATTGCATAATTTCAAAGGTGTCGTATGTGTAATCATTGTAAGCTCCTTCAAGATTCTTGCACTTTATGTAGAGCATATCTATTATACCATACGCCCTTTTAGAACCAATCGGGCAGGAACCAGGCTGGAAGTTTATGTTGAAATGACTAAATACAAAAAATGGAAATCTTACTAAACTCGTGTTTAAAATTCAATTGAACCTACCTATAATAAAACCTTTTCGAGTGTTCATTTAAGCCTTTTTAGGTACTATCTAAACCAACCCAAATAATTTTATAGTAATGATAAACTTACTGTCGACCTTTACATTTATCTATATTATATAAAATCATCATTGCAAGGAAATGGAATATGGCACCAAAGCAATAAAATGGTTTGGTGACTTCTTAACCATAACTGACCTTAGAGGGTACAATACCATGTCTCATACCCCATTCTTCAATTTTGCACAAGTCAAAACGGCAGTCTCTCCAGACATCCCCAGAGCCAACCCAATGCCCACCAATATCTAAAATAAATATGTTGAATATCATTATTTTGCAGTGACTAAGTTGTATAGTCCCTAGTATGTATTAGTAAAAGTAGTTTTTGTACGTTGTTTTTCTTCCGACGCCTTACAGACAAACTTGCTAAATTGTATCCAAGTCGACTTTTTCTACATTTGTCATTTATTTGTTTTCCACCAAATCGTTATCTCATAGTTATCCTAAATGATTTACCATTGCATTCTCCACGCGCTGACATGTGAATAGTACCAGTAGCGACCCGAGTATCGCCAACACACTTGTCAATACCTTCACCGATAAAGAACTTGGATTCTGAAATAATACATCACAAGTTTTGACGTCTAATGCAAGGCCCTAACCAGGATTTTCCAAGGGGGTTCATTTTTAAAGATTCCAGTGGGGTTCAATTTTAACAATTTTGGCCCATAGATGGCCAATATCGCTTGGAATATACTCAGAACAGTGAAAATCTGCATGATTTTAAAATCATTTTTTGCCAATGGGGGTCGCTCGAACCCCCTGACCCCCCCCCTGACTACGGCCCTGAATGCCTCAGTCACATTTGATCGGCAACCATAAGGCGGCCGTAGCTTCCCTTATATGCATCTTGAAATATAGGAATAAGCCGTAGAGCAAATGTAACTTAAGCTTTAGTTATCCATTTGGATAACAGAGTTGGATAACTGATATACTGTACAGTCAAAGTAAAAGGGAAACAAGCCCTCTCGATCTTGAACTATGATATCAGACTAAAAGAAGCAAAGTCTATAATACCCCTTCTTCCACAATTCAGGAACCATTATGATGTCAAATAGTATTGTGACTAGGATCTTCAAATACTCCTTTATATCTAAATGTGTGTTCTTTTTTAAATCTGAATTTAATCTTTTTAATCTGAATCGTTTGATGTCATGCATAAATTAAAAAGAAAGATATAGCGTTCTAGTCGCAACAGTCTGCACGAAAAAGGTAAACAGCAAGTTAATTAAAGGATTCTCGGGAAATAAAACACGCAAAAATAATTTAGTACAATTGAATAAAAAACAACGGTCAATATGTTCAAATGATTCAGAGTTGTTGCAAAACATTGTTTTATTAATAAAAGTACGTAGAATTAAAATCAGTTCAAAAAATCGTGATGTTATCAATTTCCAGATTTGATAATAACTATATACAAAAATGGATTTACCTTGTCCCGTAGAAATATATGTTGAAGCATTCGGGAAATACGTCGCCCAAAATGTCAGTAAGGAAATCCACGTGGACGCTTTTTCCATTTTACCTATCAACTATGGCTTTCCATTTTTATTATGTTTCACAGTTCTAGTTTTTATAATACCTTCTGTCGTGTGTATATCGGTTGCCTCTACAACTTGATTTATATGGTTTATTTTTTGTTGTACCGTTCTATATTCGATATAAACTCAAGAGGATTCCTATAAATGAAGTTGTATGCTATTTATTTAATTTGTGAAATAATTTAAAAGTGACATTAGTTGCAATCATACAGCATTCGCTCTCGAATGTCCAAAAATGCCAGACCATATATGAAAAACTTACCATGCAAATTATCACATTTATTTGGTTTTTAATGTATGATACATTGAGTTACAATTGGTATCATTATTGTATTTCACAAAGTATCTACATATGTCCAGTCCAGTCATTTATGAGTCCAGTCCAATTAAAAATGTTGTGTTCGAAATAAACAATATATTAATTAACTTTGGTAGACATATATACTCATAGGGTGATTAACACCAATGTATAATATTTGAGGTTTTCCTTGTTTTTTTTATATGACTACTCTCCAAAAGATCTGATTTTCAAATTTTCGTATAGTTAGGATATTATGAGGATTATCTCATTTCCAAAAGTGGTTTGCGCACTTGTAATTGTATAATTCATCAATTGCTTATAACATCGATATAACTAAAAATTATGATTTTTTTTCATGAGAATATCTGTATTGTTATATTCATTTATTATTCATATATTGTTTACTTGGTAAATAGTGACAACCACTTTAGAACCTATTGTTGGATGTCACCAACCAGATTACGTTGTTCTGCTAACATGCAGTGGCAATCGGGTAATGGACTTATCGGTTAAGTCTGTATTGAAAATAAAAGCCATTGTTTTTGTTCATGTATGTGCAGGCCTCGAAATTCCCAGGTGGGTGCATGCCTGTTATCAAAATCTCAAGTGGGTACAGCACAATTGTTGCTGGGGAATCACTACAGTGTAATTTTTATTATTGCGCTGGTAAGTCATAAGTGTAAAGATCAAAGTCTTCGCCAACTAGTTCTCACAAATAGCTACCTGGAAAATTCATTAAGTAGTGAAACAATTACCTGATACAAAAAGTTAAGCGCGAGGCCTGTATGTGGAACATTTGGGAGTCTCTTACATATTTCTAAGATAAAATAAAAATAGAACCAGAGAGATTTTCGCCATAATCTTTGAATATATATAAAGGCAATCGACGCCCAAAGCATATTTTCAAAAATACTCCGGCAGAGATATTAGGTATTTTGAGAAGCAATTGTTTTCTTTGATAACATCAGGTAAGACTACAATATAAGCCAAATTGTTTTAAACTATAAATGGGGCATTTAAAAGTTAACCAAGGTGATTGGGGGTAGATGGGCAAAGTTATGATAGTTAAAACTTGATGCCAATAAAATTGAAATTCATAAAATAGTGATTGTTACTTTGTTTCTAATGCTCTAGAAAATACAAAAATTTGATTATTGCTTTGTTTGATAAATTATGATTTAGCATATTGAATTCTCTTCCCTATATGCTTTATTTCATGAAAATCGTGGCCACTGTGTTCTCTTCACGAATTTGAGAGAAAAACGGTTTTTTCAAAAACTTTTCTATAAATACCTTTGGAATTTTTGTTGCATATTCGTTAATGTCTATGCACACTTTTGTATTGGAATTACGATGATAACTTTTTCCAAATTATAGATTTTATTTCTCCTCAACCCCAATTTTTCAATTTTACTATTTCGATGTTTGTGTCGTTGCTAAGTGGCTGCTAAGCAGCATCATTGACCGAAACAATACCATCTCATACATTAATACATCTGCACTTCTTGGCATTTGTTGTACATCTTTAAATATATATGACAAAGACACAAACAAGTTGAACTTGACATTGCAGACTATTCAATTTTAAGTTACATTGATTTCAATTGGATTTCGCGATACCTGCTACCTTTGAAAGTGTGTAGCGTAACAGTAACTAGAGTTCTAGAAAAGCTTTTTACCATGATTTTAGTTTTATTTGAAAGATAATGTATTATTCTTTGAGGCAGCTAAGTATTTTTTGGCACAAAAAAAGTTATTGTAAAAGGAAATTGACAATTTATGACAAAATGTCAAAAATGTACAACCCTTAGGTCACGTTGAACTCGACCTATATTGACCAACTTTTTAAAGAAAAAACTTTTTCTGAAGAGGTAATTGAATATGGTTTACAACAAAACCAACAATGATGAAATCAGACAAGTAATAAAAATCGCAGAGGGGGTCCAAATGACCCCTCCTTGCGACTTTAAGTGTTATAAAAAAGGTTGCAGACGATCAATATATTAAGGTTGGGTCACAATTTCAGGAATATACTTACTTCTTGGAGATGTGGGGCTTTTTGAAGACATGGACCACAATTATGAAAAATAGGCCCATATTTTCAATTGGGTCGAAATTTTCAGAAATGTCCAAAGTTTTTTACCAGCAACATTATTTTTTGACACCCTTTCTTGTGATTTTTCAGACCTGATTTCAATAAGTGAACTCTGAATATTTGGGTTGTCAGAATAGTCGGGTAAGAGTCAGAATATTTTGGTAGTCCAGAACACTTTATTTTAATTTGATGAGTTGTTCTGAATCATTTTTCTCAAAGATCTAACTTCTCATGCCTTCTTCTGTTGGAAAATTAGATTTTTCTCTGTGGTATGATTTGGACATTCATTGGCATGGGTCTTATATTTTGGTTGGTATGGGAACACATTGAAATTTGACATATGTATGGGAACATATTGATATCTGAGGGTTCAGCCTAGGACACCCGCCAAATTTGAATACTGTGAACCCCAAGGCTCTACCCCTGAGCCAACGGATCTACATGTAGCCACTACAGCTGAGACCATAAAAGCTACTTTCTATTGAGGGCAAAATACTGTAAAGCTTTTAGTCTGAACTGACCATAGTCTTAACTCGTCACTGAATAATGGTGTAACTTATATGATGCAGAGTAAATGTATATGCATGGACTTACGATAAAGCTCCTTTGTTCTTAATCATTCCTGTTTTATTGTATTTTACTTCATTTTACACATTCTAATTGTTTTTAAATATGTTTTTTTCTAGTTCTACATAGATTGATATCACCACATTATCATAAGGGTTGTCTTGGATGCAATACAGCACAGCCAAAAGTGGTGGCACAACCAAATGTGAGACAGCCCACACTATAGTTAGTCCGACATAAAGGTGGTAAACGATTCAAAGCTCCAACAGAAGCAAAGGATAAAAGATGGATTGCACAAAAGAAAAAGTTTGTACAAAATATTTTTTTGTAATATTATTTTCCATTTTATGTTCATTAACTCAGGAGTAGACACTTGCAAATTCAAAGTAAGTTTAAAAAAGAGACACTTTTGATATCAGAAAACTGATATGTGAAAATGAGAGATTTGAAAGCAAAAAAGGTTGTGCTTGATCAATAAAAATGATACCTCCAATTATTCAATATTTATAGAAACACAACTAGTAAAGTTTTTGATGAATTTTACTAATAGATTAAACTCAACTCTGATGTTTTTATTTTTTCATTTTCATGTCACCACAAAAAAGTGCTGACATATTGTTATAGTCTTCCAACTTTTTTTGTGGATAGGGTTCAGCAGTCAGTGTTTGGTGTATTTAACAAATTCTCGTGTAACAACACTGCGTGAAATATGGGATTCCAACTCTTGACACGTCTAGAAACTGGTCTTTACACGCCGGGTTTCTAGACGTGCCAATTATTTACACCTCTTGACACGCGATGAATTCAACTCTTTACACCTCTTGACACGCTCTTGGCACACTGAACAACACAATTATGTGTAAACAACTAACCTAATTACCAATAGCAATACATACAGTATTTTAACGATTGCAAGTATTTTCTCTGATACTTTTAATTGACATATTTTTTAATCATTCTTTCGCAGACTGTTTGGAACAAGTACATGTAGCAAATATTAAACAGACTATTTTGTATGTACGCTGACACATTGACTTATTTAAACATTTTGGCAATTTCATGCCGCCTTTTGAAAATATAAATCAGTTACAGGCAATGCTAATCGACGCATTGATCCTAAGTGAAGGAAATACATATCATGATAAGAAAAAGAAAGGCGCTTCAAGGATAAAACGTGCAATAAACTTTGAAAACACTGATACATCAGGCCTATTTATATATTTATTTTGTATTAGCTTAATATAAAGATAAACTTACTTTTCGATGAGTATTTGGATTTCGGATTTATTTGTTTCAAGTTAAGTCAATACAAATTATCGCCGACTTAACTTGTGACCATACATATGATAAATGAGGGGCATTTTAATACACAATTGGGCAAAACAAGCATATTCAATCGAATGTACCATTCTCTCTGCTGTTCTTTCCCAGTCTATCCATAAACAGACAGGTACAAGTTCCCATAGTTTTCGCAACATCTAATTCTATGATCAATTGCTAGACACAGCAAATATACTAATTAATTGTCTGATTGTGATTCGGGAACGTAGGGTTTTTACATAAACAGGATACTTGGCTGTACATAGCCTGAGAACACCGGATTGACCCCTCCCCCCAATCGACGCCTATGCGCTGCTTATGTTTTAATAAGAAACATTCCCTTGTAAAGAATTATCGGGATATGAATTGATACAAGGTCAAGTATTCTGCCCCTTTTGTGTGATAAAAATATGTATTTAATTGGTGCTTTAACTTTTTGAACAAAGAAATGAAATAATCGCACTGAATGTCTCAACATAAATCAGTGATGTTTAATTAATAAATGGCACGATTATGTCAGTCTACGCACTTCATGGACATGGATGGGGGGGGGGGTGTGAGTTACCCATTCTAAAATGGTTAAATTTTGTATTAAAGAGTAATCAATAGGTCGTGAACTCCGATTGATAACCAACTGTAGCATTCTACTTAATTTGTTTGACTATTGATATTAAAAAAGAGTGAATTTATGATATTCATAGAGGTACATTGTATTGGTATAAATATAATAATGATATTGGGGACCATAAACCACTTTGTTTCGCAAGTAGCTTTAGGATCGCGGTTTTATCTTCACATGTTGCCCTTTGTGCAATTCGAAAATGAAATATTTTAATCTATAATTTATATATCATTTGCAAAATAAATGTAATTAAGAGACATGGGGGAGGGGGGGGGGGGTTAACGGCCAGAATTTGGAATGAATTTGGGAATTTCAAGGATTGATTCACTTAATGTTGTTCACTGGAGTCGATACACACACCTGCATAACAATCGGAGACAAAACTGACTTAATCTGATATGATAACAAAAGATTAATAACTTAGTCTATGTTTTTGTTTTTATAATTGCGGAAGTGTACCAAAACCACCTTGATTACAGAAGATATCGTCTAGGCTTTAGATTTAATGAATAGATTTTTTGCCCTAGTCTCATTTAATAAAACAGGCTATTTGCGTATTTAATTAATATTTGTGACAAAATATTTCAGTTAGACTCAAAATCAAAACGAATTTCTCCATTATAGCCCCCCTCGCAACTGTCCCGAGTCTGCATCTGTTTTTCATGCTTCCGATCCACCTTTGGGATAGAGAGAATAGATGTAGATTTGTAATTTGGGGGGTGGCATTAAATGTGTTCTCATACAAACTAAAATAAACCCCAAAAAGCCATATCAAATGTCCAAACACAAGACCAATGCCATGTCAAACATCCAAATATAGAACCAATGCCATACCCCCGGGTACCAAATATCCAGAATATAAGACCAAGGCCATTCGAAATATCGAATGCCCCGAGAAGAAGGCAGATCTTTGAGTAAAATGATCATAAACAACCTCAAATGAAGGATATGTGTAACAACTAGACCAATGCCCCGGGACCAATGCCGTACCACAATTGAGGGGTAACATATTTTCCAAACCGACTCTTATACCAGAAAATGGAAAAATCTGTCTTAAAATGTGGGTCCATTGGCTTGACATACCAAATGTAAAAAAGGTACCCCACCTGAGCCGAGTGTGAACCCCCGGGGTGAATGGTGAACACACGGGGCAAGGAATTCTTCGATTTTGATTCAAGTAATTTTTTTTATAAAATTCATACTCATGTTAATAGCGGACGCCTTGGCCAAATAATCTTTCAAATCATGCACTTTCCAAGTGATTTTGTAGCAAAATTGTGATAATATATGAACCCCTTGGAATTATTCAAAGACGGACCCCCGCCAGCCCATCCCCCATTCTTACCTATGCTAAACACTAAGAAAATATATAGAATGGTATCTTACACTTTTTTCTAAATGTTGATATCCAAAAAACATATCTTTTTGGTTTATCAACACATACCGCTCACAATATAACAAGTATACAGATTGTAACATAGATAAGCGAATTGGGGAAAATTACAATCCCTTTGATCAAATTATTATAAGATTTAATCTCCAGCTGAGGTGCAATCAAAATGTTGATACACATAATTAGCAGTCAGAAAGATGCTCTTACCACTGTAGTTTTCAATATTCCCTTTGTTGTAACATCTTATTTCAAAAGAATGGATATTGATGGTTAAATGGAAGTATTCATATCAAACATTCACATTATAGTTTACAGTGGAATTCCCTCCATAAATGCAACATATTTACCATTTAAGATTTCATATTGGACTTTCCGCATAATGATAAAATGTTGACGATATAGTTTTCGATAAAACCCCAGGGCCGTAGCCAGCTTTCAGTCGGGGGGAGGGGTGATGCAATCACCAAAATATTTTAGGTTTTCAGTCGGGGGGTGCGATCGTGACATAAATGAGGCAAAAAATATTTGTTTTGAATTTTTACGAAAATGATGCAACTTCCTTCAAACCTGAGCTAGAAGCTTCAAACAAAAAATCAATTTAATGCTCTTTTCTTCCTCTACCTTATGGTACCTTTTATTGCTTGTAGGAGGGGGTGCGAACCCATCGCTTCTCCTCGTTACGCTTATAAACCCAATAACGTATTCCCAAGGAATCGACTTTATTAATTTATATGTGAAAAATGAGCTTGCATGTACAAATTGCATCGTATGCAAACCTTCCCCTGACCGACCCGGTCATGTTTATGTCTTTTGAATGATGTCTACCCCTTGATGCATGCATCCTTTAATAAGTGGTGTTAAGAATATTGGTGTAGGCCCTGGTCAATATCTCTAGATACGCAGAGTTTCTAGACCGGCTAAGCACGTCTAAAAATTACTAGAAATTCCACAATTTATACAGTGATATGGATTTCATGTTTCTATTGAATGCCTTATTTTGAAGTCTAGCTAAATAATCGAGTTTGATTTTAAACGTTTTCGGGGATCCGGGCAGAACTCAGGATATAGTACTTGAGTACATTTGCATTCAAAATAATTCAAAATTCAAAATTGCAAATATCATGGAAGTTGATTGCAATTATGTTCGATGATCGTCAACATGAAAGAACAATATGTCTGAATAATTAGCTATTAAACATCTTTATCAAAACTTTCCTACACTTTTAAATGTTGATCTTTAGTTAGGCTGAATCACTTGAAAAACCCTCCCAATAATTCTTTTTATGATAGAAGCACCAAAATCGGTACAAGTGTAGCTGATTGTAATTGAAAGAAAATGGCTCGAGGCAGCAAGTGATCCAGAGCCTCGTTTTGGAAAAAATTCAAAATGGCCGCCAGTCTGTTTGTGATTTTGCCGATTTCTATTAAAATCTCAAAATCCTCTAACATGTTAATGAAAACTGTATAGAAACCTCAAGAAGTGGCTTTGAAATTAATCTTTTTTGATGAACTGACATTTAACTTCACGGAGCGGTAGGCAAACTGCGCGCCTACTATGCACGCAGTTTGGAACACTGACAAACTGCGCGCCTATTCACAAAATGACAGACAGGGAGGACACGACTCCCAAGAGGATGGAAATTACTGGAAATACTAGGCTAGTTTTGGTTTTCAGACAGTACCAAGATGTGGAGACTAACTTAGTTCATACGTAGCACTCGATTTTTTTCGCGATGCATATCTAGTTATCTCAAAATAAGGTTCCAAAGGAGCTTTCGTGTTAAAATTATACAGTGTTGCGTCATATAATGTCTGTTTTTCGTAGTTTGACGTTTATTCAGCCCTTGTGTTTGCATATTCTGAAAGATATAGGATTGCTGCACATGGTTTAAGTAATATAGTTTGTTTGTTAAACAGTGACAAGCCATTAACGTGATTTTATTTTTTTCGCTGTCAAACTGCGTGCATACT